GGTTTGATGTCTTTGGCAGCAAAAAGTGGTCGCTTGTTGCTGTCTGGAGCGGTTAGCATAGCTGTTACAAGACCTCCCGTGCTTGTTCCCGATATCACATCAAAATAATCTGCAAGACTTGCCTCTGGACCATCCAACTCCTGCATTTTCAACGTGTACATATAAATGTATATCAATATCACTATTGTTTCCATACTGAATACGTACGTATTTATTAACATGTCATTTAATGAATTAGGTTTTGGAGCATTTGATATAGATACCTGAAGCTGAGACTCAAGGAAATGAATAATGGTGGCGGGGATGATGCCCCTGATGCCACCACCATCGATGCTGAGAATGGTCACAAAGTTTCCGTAAGTTGGAGGCTGAATTTGTTCAACGGATGACTCTGATCTCTCCATCTCTCTCGGAATAAAGGTTAGTGTTGAACAAATACGCTTAAATCAAAGGTCGAACAGAAAGAATAGTGAAAAAAGGAGCAATGGATAACTAAGAAAGATTGAGGCTTGTGTGGTTTTTTGATAGGCATTGTTGTAGTGGTATTTATAGTGGGAGGTGGACCCATTAAATATTGATATTAGTTCAGAGTTTATTTAATTGAATTCAAAAGAGTAGAAAAGTATTTAATATCGAAGGAAGACACAGTCAAAAGTGAGATGTTATGCCTAATAGGAAACATTTCTTTTGTTTGTTGTTTGAAATGACTATCGTCCAAGCGGTAAAAGACGACTGCATAACTTTTCTAGGGTTTACCTAAACATGCACTAACCCGATGGCGATGGCTATAAGTATGTATGATAGTATAATAATATATTTATATGACTTGAATTATACTCGTGGGATTATTAGCATATTTGTGAATCCTTATTTGGATTCAAAGGAGAGATTTGTAAAGAAGAACAACACAGACGTCTCAAAGTTTGTCTCATTGTAATGGTGAGTGATTACGTGAAGGTGACGGATGTTATGTTTTAAAAAAAATATAAGGCAATCTATTTAATTCGAAGCATTATGTTTTTATCTTATAAAACCTATAAAAACGTGTTGTTGTATTAAGTGACCATATATGTTATATTGTATTTGTAAATTGATTAGTGCTTATCCGAAAGTTTAAGTATATTATTTCGGTGATTGTCAACTTATTAGTAAATATGATTCATCAAGCAATGCTAGGACTTTGATTTTCAAGCTGCCATTTATCGATATTTAATTGTGAAGGTTCGTACAAATTTAATTAAGAGAATGTTAAAGTAGAATAATTAATGTAGTATTGCTTAAGTTTAGAATGACTTCTTCGTCTTAAATGACTTTTAATTTAATAATAGCTGGTATTTATTTACTAAAATATTATGAAAACTGTGAATGATGAAGCATTCTTTAGATTTGAAGGAAACATGTGTCATGAAAGAATAGACAGGGCATAGTGACGTCGAAAGAATGTATGAGAATCTATTTAATTGGAAGCATTATTATTCATTTATATCTGTTTGATAAAAGGCATATAAAAGTAGTCATATATTATTTTAAGCGAACATATAGCAGAGAGTGACCACCCTGAGTTCATTCCTTTCAAAGTATGATTTAATTAGACTTTGTAATAAATTATACTAGTTTTAAAACTTTATTATAGTGCTTCCTTCAAAGTTTAAGATATATGTTTGTGCAACTTGTTACCATTACCAAAACTTTAGATTTTCCAGCCGCCTATCAAAACGCTTCTAGAATCTTATCAAAGTGCATAATCTTTTAATACTTAAATTATATTACTGATATACTCTATCTTTTGTGTTTCGATATATTTCTTTTTGTTAATCACTTTGTATCAATCCACTTTTGTTAATAGAGAAATCATAAGAGATTCGATTGAACATGGATAATATACTCATTACTTTATCTGCAATTAAAAATTTAAGTTGTTATTTATCTTGTTATTCATTAAATACGGGTTTAAAAAATATATGAGTTTTTTAAAATATACAGATATTCATGAATATCTTCTATATTTTCAAAAATGAAAGTATAGAAGATTTTTAAAATGAAGTTTGTATAGATTTTTAAAATGAAATCTAAATAAAATTATAAAAAATATAAAATATAATCTAAATTAAATTTAAACTAACAAAATATAAATTATATTTTAATATTCATAGCAGATTCTATCTGCATATAATATTTTTGTTGTCCTTATCTAATAAATTTTGACAATTCGTTTACCTGATATTTAAAAGAAATACACGTGTCTCAAAATTTATGATAAATTTGGTCTATCATAATTATTAAAAATTGTCTAATATGAGACACTAGTGATTAAGATGATGAGGTTGCACGTGTTCAAACCTCTTGGACAGATCAATAATTTTTGGAAAAATTAATTGATAATTAATGAGAAATTAATTTAAAAGTTAGTGATGATTTAGATAAACTTCATAAAATGTGCTTATAGTTCGTGTTCAAAATCAACGTTAATTAATGATTTGATGTTAATGGTTTTAGAGTCTATTAATAAGTATGGATAAAGAAATATTAAGTTATCTGCGAATAAAATTCATTGATAAAACATAATATATTAATAGATTATATAATTTTAATTATCATTGAAAACATGGTCAATTATTAATTTGTTAGTAAATTAAATTTTTTATTACAACAAAAATATCTATAAATAAAATTTGCAAGTAATTTAAAGTGTTTACTATTGATAGTAAAGTTTATTGGTAAAGTGGGTGTCAAGATTCCTGCTTTTTGAGTTTTGACCATTTTGTATTAAAATTTGTTCATAATTATTTTGTTTAAAAAAATTGTTTAAAAATATATTAAAAAATTCATTGATAAATTGGATGTTAAATTTATTGTCATAAAATATTTTTATAAATAATTAGTTGAATGAGAAGAAAAAAAATAAGACGATAAGAAAGAGAAAAAGGAGAAAGAGAAGCAAATTTGTAACATTTTAGTGACAAATAAAAAGAAAAGAAAAAGGAAAAAGGAAGAAGTGAATATATAGAAAAGAGGTTTATAGATTGACGAGGAAAAAAATGAAATTAAAGCAGTAGAATAGTTGTAAATAGGTTTATAATATAGTATTCGTAAATTGATTAGTGGTTATCCGAAAGTTTAAATATATTATTTTGCATGGTTCATCAATGCTAGGAATTTTATTTTGAAGCAGCCATTTTTCGATATTTAATTGTGAAGGTTCGAACAAATTCAATTAAGAGAATGTTAAAGTACAATAATCTAGCATTGTTTAAGTTTAGAATGATTTTTTCCTCTTAAATTAGTTTTAATTTAATAATAGCTCACGATATTTATATAATATTTTATACAAAATGGAGGAAATTTATATAATATTTTATACAAAATGGAGGAGTATCCTGTTCGAGAAGGTTGAACTGAAATCTAATAAATAGGTTAATTTTGGCTACCATTTAGCATTTTTATTACAAAACACTTAACCACATAAGTTTGGATTTTAAAATCTCTACAATCAGCCACGTTACCATCGCTGCATGTCGTCGTGGAACCAAAGCCTCAATCCACGCTCTCCATCTTCGGCTTATATATATATATATATATATATATATATATATGAGTCACGAGGGTAAGATATTCCACAGTCACTAGTACAGTAAGAGGAAATGACACCGATTATTTTCGCTGATAGGCACCGGTTCCTGAACCGAGGCATATTCAGGCGAGGTAAAAAGTGATAGACTTTATGCCTCGGTTATGGCCTCCTGGACAAGTCATCGGAATCGATTCCAGCGAAGGGTCCGCAACCAACTCCGGGAAAGGCGCGATGGGAAGTGGGATAGCACATGATCGACAAGGGTGCAATGATGATACAGGAGCCCATAAAGCAGATTAGTCACCACTCGTGTTCCTTTGCCATCTATAGCCACGACATGTCTCGCCAAATAGAGGCTCACCATTACTGCTCCGGACTCCACCAAAATTTCATCCAATGTGCCGTCTACGATTTCGGTGAATCCGATGCTCGTCTTCTTGGTCTTCTTGTTTTCTCTCTCTTGTTTCAACTTTCTCAAAACTCTGTTGGTTTAATGTTTAAGGATGCATGAGAGGGATGCCAAATACAGAAAGGTGGAGATTCCTAAACCAAAGATGATCAACCCTTGGCTGACAACCGGAAGCAGCATGGCAAAGGATTTGCCACTAACATGTTAGCAATAGGTAGGTGTTTTAGAGAGAATACAACAATGGAGTGTAATGCAGAGAGAGAAAGACCGTAATGGAGAGAAAGAGTGTAATCTCATTAACACCAACGTAACATATAACAGAACATATAACAAATAATAAGACGAATAAAAGTCGTTACACATTAGTTTTATTCACAACACATCTCTCTAAACTCTTTATTCACAACACATCTCTCTAAACTCTGTAAAACTTGGTTATAGTGTCAATGTCATATTGCTTTTCATCTTAAGGATTCACTATTGTTAATGCCACTCTAATTTTTATTGACTAACTGATCAATTCTCTTTTTGAACTTCGACTTGATTTTTTATCTGGTTTCTTTCATCTCTTTTTTAGACGTTTTTCTCTTCTTTTACCTTATGCTTATTTTTCTTAGATCTCCTTTTCTTTTTCCGCTTATGATCACTGATTTGTAGTGCCATAACCATCCTTCATTCTCAGTGTTAACAGCAGAAAAATACCGAACGTTAACAGTACTTAGATTCACTTTGAATGTTCGGTTTCTGACAAGAGGAGCCTTGATCACTAGACGTTATCTTTCATCAGACACTTTTATGTGTCTTTGTTGCATCAATACTGTATAGCCTTTCTCAAGTAGTTGTCCCAGATTCAGTAAATTTCTCTTCATATTTGGAACATACAACACATTGTTCATGTAAACCGATCGGCTATCCTTGCGTGTGATCAGGATTTTTCTAGCCCCTTCAGCCATGATCACGCTATTGTCGACAAAGCTCACGCTGCTTCAGACACTTGTATCCAGGTCTATCATCCATTCCCTTTTGCCTGTCATATGGTTGAAGCATCCTGTATCTAAATACTAGCAGTTATCGTTTTCTGCATGGCTCGCATCTACAGACATCAACACGTGTTCCAATTCTTGACACCTATGTAACGTTCGTCCACACCTGTCCAACGCTCGTCCAATTTCTTTATTAATAACCGTTCGGTTAAACAATCGTTCGGTTAAACAATCGTTCGGTTAAACAACCGTTCGGTTAAACAACCGTTCGATTTCTCCATCAACATCCGTTCGAATCGACAACCGTCCGGTTTCTCCATTAGCTCCCGTTCATATCAATGACAACAGTCGTCCAGTTTCCTTATCGACTCCATTTCGGTCTGAAGACAATAGTCGTTCGTTTTCTTCATCAACACCTGTTCGGTCTTTAGACAACATCCCATTGTCTTCATCCGTTTGGTCTTTAGACGACAACCGATTGTCTTCACCGACACCCGTTCGGTTAAAAGGCAACATCTCTTCTTCAGCAACCGCTCGGTTTTTGTCAATGCTCGTTTGGTCTGAAAGCAACATTTCTTCTTCAACACCCGCTCGGTTTTTGTCAATGCTCGATTCTTTCAACAGCAACGATCGTTCGGTTTCTTCATTAATTCCCGATCGGTTGAACGACAACAACGATCGTTCGGTTTCTTCACCTGCTGCACTTGAGGAAGACAGTCGTTCGATCTCTTCTTCTGCTATATTTAAAGACGATGATCATTCCGTTCCAGACTATCGTTCGGTTTCTTCAACAACAACATATCTATCCTCACTTGACAACAACACCTTAACTTCTTCATTCTTCACTGCATGGTTCATCTTCTCTGAGTACAACACGTGGTCTGTACCACAGTGACACTCATCTGCATGGCTTGTTCCTCTCGGCTGTCACACATGTTCAGATACACATTCACACCTGTCTCGCACTATTTCTCTGCACAACTCCTCTTAATCGTTCTAGAGTACTCATCAACACAACAAGATCTGACTCCGAATCACAATCCTCCTGAGCAAGATTCACCATCTCGTCATTCTTGGTCTTCTTCGCGGCTTCATTGTGCCAACACTCTGCAGAGTAGTGCCCGTATTTATTACAGGTGTAGCATTGAACATTTCTTTTATCATGCCCTCTTCTTTCTCTGCCTCTGAATTGTCTGCCTCCTCTATTGTTTCCCTCCTTCTGCTCACCTCCATTGTCTTCACTGGTTTGATCAGAGGGATTCATGCTTTTACCACTTGTTCGGCCATCGCGTGTCCGTCCTTTGCCTCTTCCAGGTCCACGACCTTTGAAGCTTTGATTGTTTCTGGCCTGCAGTGCTTGATTCATCCTTTGCACCGCATCCTTTTCTGCATTCTTTCTTTCAATTAAGTGCTGCTCATGCGCCTCTAGAGAATTCTGCAGTTCTTCTTCTTTCATTGTTTCAAGATCCTTGCATTCCTCTATGGCAACCACGATGTGATCGTACTGTGGTGTTAAGGTTTAAAGTATCTTCTCGACAATCTTTTTGTCCTTCACAACCTTATCGCATGCTCTCATAGCATTCACTACAATCTGAATTATGCTGATGTACTCCACCACTATCTCCTACTCCCCCATGCATAAGAGCTCATATTGCCTCTGCAGGGATTACAAACGAACCTTCTTCACCTTGCCGGAATTACCATATCTTTCTTGTAGGATATCCCAAACCTCCTTTGCCGTAACAGCTTTCGAGACTTTCTGGAAGATAGCAGCCGACACACACTGATGCAACAACATTCGAGCCTTGCAGTCCAACCTCTTGTTCTCCTTGTGTTGTCTCTTCACTTCTTCTGAGTCTCCCTTCAACGGTTCTTTAAAGCCTTTCTTGACTATTTCGTCCACTTCTGGAAAGCCAATAATTGCGTCCATCTTCACGCACCAATCATCGAACCCCTTGCCGTCAAATACAGGTAGGTTACTGTGAATCATTCCGGCCATCACTTCCACACCCCTTTCTTCTTGAAGCGTCTTCTTGAATGTCACAAAACTTCACCAGGTTTCGTAACCTGTCGCTCTTGATACCACTGTTAGCGCTAGGTTGGTGTTTGAGAGAGAGTGCAACAGGAGTGTAATGCAGAGAAAGAGAGAAAACGAGCGTTCTATTTTCTCATTAACAACCACTTACATATGTACAACATATAACAGATAATAGGATGAACAGACTGTCATTTGACAGTTAAAGTTGCTCAGTTTAGTTTTATTCACAACAGTTTTTTTCAAGGAGAATTAATCTTCAAATTGATCTTCGATCTTTGTTGTTTATTGTTCTTTCTTTTGGACAATTTCTGTTTCTTTTATACAACAACTTTTTGTTCTTTCTTTTGGACAACTATTTTTTATTTTTTAGACAACTACTTTTGTTCTTTCTTTTGGACAACTATTTTTTGTTTTCTTTCTTTTATACAACTGTTTTTTGTTCTTTCTTTTAATGTTTTTGTACTTTCTTTTAGACAACTTTTTTTCGTTCTTTCTTTTAGACAACTGTTTTCATTCTTTTTTTTTATATAACTGTTTTTTATTCTTTCTTTTAGACAACTGTTTTTTATTCTTTCTTTTAGACAACTGTTTTTGTTCTTTCTGTTAGACAATTTATTCTTTCTTTTTGACAACTGGTTTTTCTTCTTTCTTTTTTACAGCTTTGGACAACTGTTTCTTATTCTTTCTTTTAGACAACTGTTTTTTGTTGTTTCTTTTAGACAACTGTTTTTGTTCTTTCTTTTTTAGACAATTGTTTTTTGTTCTTTCTTATTGACAACTTTTTCTTGTTCTTTCTTATTGACAACTATTTCTTGTTATTTCTTTTGGACAACTATTTCTTGTTCTTTCTTTTGGACAATTGTATCTTGTTCTTTCTTTTGGACAACTGTTTATTCTTCTTTCTTTTGGACAACTATTTTTTGTTCTTTTTTTTGGACAATTGTTTCTTGTTCTTTCTTTTAGGTAGGACAATTGTTTCTTGTTGACATCTGTGTCTTGTTCTTTCTTTTAGGTAGGACAACTGTGTCTTGTTCTTTTTTTAGGTAGGACAATTGTCTCTTTTTCTTTCTTTAGGTAGGACAACTTTGTCTTGTTCTTTCTTTTAGGTAGGACAACGGTGTCTTGTTTTTTTTTTCAGGTATGACAACTGTGTCTTGTTCTTTCTTTCAGGTATGACAACTGTGTCTTGTTCTTTCTTTTAGGTATGACAACTGTGTCTTGTTCTTTCTTTTAGGTAAAACAACTGTGTCTTGTTCTTTTTTTAGGTAGGACAACTGATACTTGTTCTTTCTAAACAATTGGGTCTTGTTTCTGGTTTGTTTCTTGTTCTTTATTACGAAAATTAATCTTCGTTCTTTCTTGTTTTTTTTTTTTGGCAATTAATCTTCTATCTTTCTTGTTTTTGTGATACGAGTTAAAGGTTCATAATTAATATTTGTTTATTCTTTAGGGCAATTAATGGGTTTAGGGTTAGCAATGTTAATTAATTTATTTTTTGGAATTAATCATGAATTAATCTTCATTCTTTCTTTTCGTTTTGTTCTTTTTTTAAGTCAATTAATTATTTCTGTTTTAAAATTAATGTTCGTTCTTTCTTTAGTTCTTTAGGCAATTAATTTCGGTAATTAATTTTCGTTCTTTCTTTAAGACACCTTAGGCAATTTCTTTCTTTACGACGCGGCTTTCTTTCAGGCAATTAATTTCTTTTGGCAATTAATTTCGGTTATTTCTTTAGGTCAATTAATTTCAGCAATTAATTTCTTTTGAAAATTAATTTCAGTTATTTCTTTAGGTCAATTAATTTCTGTAAGTTTATTTTCAATAGGATTTGAGGTTTGGAGTTTGAGATTTAGAGTTTAAGATTTGATTATAATTAATAGAATTTGTTTCGGTTATGAGTGACTATTTAATAGCTTTTCCGATGCAATGAAAATACATGATAGGATGATTCCTTTCTGTGTAATTTGTCAACAACATTACACGACCATTTGCACAATTTTCACAATCAAATTCAAAAGTATATTTTTACCTTTTATTTCCAATCCAACATAATTAATAAGGACATCATCTTCTCCACTTCTTAATTATCTCTACTTCTTAATTAATTAAAACAACTTATACATTCATTGCAATATGATTCTTCAATGCACACTTTTTAATTAACTAAATATTTTATTAGAATATAAACAAAATCTCATGTTGATTTAACTAAAACTTTTATTAAAATATAAACAAAATCTCATAATGATTAAAGGAATGAATATAAATTTATATACATAAGATATTTTTATTGATAAAAAACTCTTTAGAATAATACAAAAACAAATTTATAAAATTATAAAGATCATTCATGTCGTCCCTCTCTACAATATAAGAGTCTATGATTTACCATAACGTACTCGAGAATTAAAAAATCATATATATGGGGTATTTGCGCAAACGTCAGCGTAAATGAGGTTAAATTCGTTTATCTTCCCATCATAATCTTGGTTTTTGAAATTCGTGTATCAAAGCAAATAGACATCATCAATTAACGAACATAGTCAACAGTTACTGTTTGAGATACTGTTGAATGGCGTGTCTTTTGTAGGTAGTCCAAGATTACCGAGTAAAGAAATATATAAATATAGGTCTCTATTGCTACTAACAAAGATTCAAGTTTATTATGCAGACTTTGATGGTAGCAAAGTAGGCATGGTTGTAGTGTTAGACCCTAATTCAAAGAGAATTGAAGGAAGACATAGTCAGAAGTGCAGAATGGTAAAAAATATTATGTGGAAAACTGATGTTCCAAATGAACACAGGACACATGGTCTTTGAAATGTCCTCAGCCAAGACTAACTAAGTAATAAGCATAATAAATGTATCCATGGTGAATGCTACGCGTGAACTGGACAACCTAGTACTTGGAGTTTAGAAAAATGTCGCGTTTTGTACAGTGAAAATATAGAAAAAAGTCACATCTCAATTAATTTCTCCAAAAACCATTGATTTGTCCTAGATCTTTGAACCGGTGACCTCGTCTTCTTGATCACTGTTAGATGTCTCATCTTAAACAATTTTTAATGATTATGACAAATTTTGATAGACATATATATTTGTTTTAAATGACCATTGGTGAGACAATGGCAAAAATAACATGCGGCGGTTATTTGTAGATAAAATACTTACAGGTAGTAAATGAATATTTTAAACTAATAATAAATAATTATAAAAATATAGTATAACATTTATATAAATAATAAATTTGATTTAATTTATAAAATAATATTAGTTTATTTAAAAAAGATTAAAACTAAATTAAATAAAATAAATAAATTTAAAACTAAACGTAATACAATTCAATAACATGTGATATTATTTTTACGTGATACTAATTTTATCACTTTTAACACGATACAGACAAGACACATGAATAAAAAAAAGTTAAAAATAAAAAAGTTATATGAACTGATATGTGTTATGTTTTAATTTCGTTTGTATAGATTTAGCAAAAATTACTGAATTAAATTAATTTTTCAAAAATTTAGAATTTAATTGAAAAAAGAAAAATAAAGAATCTATTTGAAAATTTATAACTAAAATTGAGAACAAAAAGTTAATCAACCATTTCTTTGAAATCTTGAATTGTAGTTTTATGAGAGTACCCTTCCTTGACATAGGATTGCGAGATGGAGGAAATCCAAGAAGGGTAACATGGAAAAAAAAGAGTTAGCTATTTAAAGATATTAGTTAACATGGAAAAACCTACAAAGGGTAAAAAGTAGGTTTTTATTTAAAGATAAAAAAAGTTATGACTATTTTACACATATTTTTGTCCTTCTTTAAGTTATTAGTTCCACCAGTCTATAAAATCCCAAAATTACAAATGAACTTAGGATGAGAAGTTGAAGGTAAGAGTTTTAATTACCATTAGATTCTGCTAGAGAACAAACTTTTAACGTCTTTTAATTACCATTAGTCCAAAATTTTAATAAAAATTTATAAGCTTTTTTAGTTTGATCATTGAGATTTTTAACTAAAACTATGTGGTTAGAGAAAATTAGTCTCATATTATTATTCTATCATAAAATCCATTATAAGTATTAAACGAATACTTTTAAACTGTGGATATTGATAATAGATAACAAATAATTCAATAATTCATTATAAACAGTTTAAATGTAGGTATTACACTACTCATATTTATATATATAATTTATTCATAGAAATTTAATTTTTGTTTTACTAGGTTTAATTTAATTTATATTTTATTAGTTTAAATTTAATTAAAATTAAAATTTAATATAATTTAAATTGTATTTATATATTTTTTAATTTTATTTAGATTTTATTTTAAAAATCTATAAAATTATTTTTTGAAAGTGTAGATATTTATGGATATATGTGAATTTTAAAAAACCCGTATATATGTTTTAAACACGTATTAGACAAATGACAAGGTACATAAGGATTTAGATTTTTAGTTACAGATTGAGTACTGAATATATTATCCGTGTTTAACCCAATGTCTTACTATCTCTAGTAACAAAATTGAAAATTGATACAAAGATTGAGTATTTTCACTATTAATATATTTGAAAGTATTACAAATTTCTGCACTTTGATAAGATTCTAGAAGCGTTGAGCGGCGGCTGCAAAATCTAAAGTTTTGGTAATGATAGCAAGTTGCACAAACATATATCTTAAATTTTGGAGGAAGCACTAATCAACTTTTAAAATTAGTATAATTTATTAGTACTATTCTAATTCTTTCATTCTCAGTTTCCACCTTACAAAGTTTAATTAAATCATACTTTGAAAGGAATGAACTCAGGGTGGTCACTCTCTGCTATATGTTCGCTTAAAATAATATATGACTACTTTTATATGCCTTTTATCAAACAGATATAAATGAATAATAATGCTTCCAATTAAATAGATTCTCATACATTCTTTCGACGTCACTATGCCCTGTCTATTCTTTCATGACACATGTTTCCTTCAAATCTAAAGAATGCTTCATCATTCACAGTTTTCATAATATTTTAGTAAATAAATACCAGCTATTATTAAATTAAAAGTCATTTAAGACGAAGAAGTCATTCTAAACTTAAGCAATACTACATTAATTATTCTACTTTAACATTCTCTTAATTAAATTTGTACGAACCTTCATAATTAAATATCGATAAATGGCAGCTTCAAAATCAAAGTCCTAGCATTGCTTGATGAATCATATATACTAATAAGTTGACAATCACCGAAATAATATACTTAAACTTTCGGATAAGCACTAATCAATTTACAAATACTAGATAACATATATGTTCACTTAATACAACAACACGTTTTTATAGGTTTTATAAGATAAAAACATAATGCTTCGAATTAAATAGATTGCCTTTTTTTTAAAACATAACATCCGTCACCTTCACGTAATCACTCACCATTGCAATGAGACAAACTTTGAGGCGTCTGTGTTCTTCTTCTTTACAAATCTCCTTTGAATCAAATAAGGATTCACATATATAAGCTAATTATCCCCACGAGTAATTCAAGTCATATAAATATATTATTATACTATCATATACACTTATAGCCATCGCCATCGGGTTAGTGCATGTTTAGGTAAACCCTAGAAAAGTTATGCAGTCGTCTTTTACCGCTTGGACGATAGCCATTTCAAACAACAAACAAAAGAAATGTATCCTATTAGGCATAACATCTCACTTTTGACTGTGTCTTCCTTCGATATTAAATACTTTTCTACTCTTTTGAATTCAATTAAATAAACTCTGAACTAATATCAATATTTAATGGGTCCACCTCCCACTATAAATACCACTACAACAATGCCTATCAAAAAACCACACAAGCCTCAATCTTTCTTAGTTATCCATTGCTCCTTCTTTCACCATTCTTTCTGTTCGACCTTTGATTTAAGCGTATTTGTTCAACACTAACCTTTATTCCGAGAGAGATGGAGAGATCAGAGTCATCCGTTGAACAAATTCAGCCTCCAACTTACGGAAACTTGGTGACCATTCTCAGCATCGATGGTGGTGGCATCAGGGGCATCATCCCCGCCACCATTATTCATTTCCTTGAGTCTCAGCTTCAGGTATCTATATCAAATGCTCCAAAACCTAATTCATTAAATGACATGTTAATAAATACGTACGTATTCAGTATGGAAACAATAGTGATATTGACATACATGTATATGTACACGTTGAAAATGCAGGAGTTGGATGGCCCAGAGGCAAGACTTGCAGATTATTTTGATGTGATATCGGGAACAAGCACGGGAGGTCTTGTAACAGCTATGCTAACCGCTCCAGACAGCAACAAGCGACCACTTTTTGCTGCCAAAGACATCAAACCCTTTTACTTGGAACACTGTCCTAAAATTTTCCCACAGCACAGGTTATTCATTAATATTTGTAGTGTCTACATTAAATCATGCATGCAAAACTCTATCTTTCGCTCTTAATTTTTTGTTTATATAAATGTACTTGTACAATCAGTATCAGTAATGATCGAGAGATTAGTTAACATACAGCATGCTTTGCATTGCAGTGGCCTTGGTGGGACTATAATAGCAAACTTAGTAAGATCTTTGGGAGGACCCAAATACGATGGGAAATACCTTCATCAGGTGGTGAGAGAGAAACTTGGAGACATTCGGTTGCATGAAACTCTCACCAACGTTGTCATTCCCACCTTCGACATCAAGTCTATGCAACCCATTATTTTTTCTTCCTATCAGGTTAACTTTCCTCTCTCTTTTTTCTTTTCTTTTCACTTTTCAAAGGAATTTTCTTTCCACTTTCCTGGTGTTTGGGACCTATATATATTTATTTGTTTATGGTTCTTGTTGGACCTTTGGGGTTCAAATTTTGACTATAAACAGTTGTCGGCTAATAAGACAAAAACAATTGTCTTTCAGTTTTCAAGAATACTATGATGATGTCAGTTTAGGAAAAAGTAAAACTAAGTTGGTTGCAGTCTTTTATTTTCCATTTTTTTCAGCCACTAATATGTCAATGTTAATATATATTAACAAAGAAGAGAATTAAATTAAAAGAAACTATAGAAGGTGAGAAAGAAAGTAACACAGTAAGATTTAAAATAAATTGATGCAGATGAAGATGTCTCCTTTCATGGACGCTAAACTCTCAGACATATGCATAAGCACCTCCGCTGCACCCACTTATCTGCCTGCACACAATTTCAAGAACCAAGATTCTGAAGGGAAGATACACGAATTTAACCTCATCGACGGTGGCGTTTGTGCAAATAACCCGGTATATGCTTAATTATTCAACAATCGATTGTTGTTTGAACTTTGATTTAACTACGTAATTAATGTAAATGGGAATGTATCACTAACTTATTTTCTATATCGGAATTTCATGATGCAGACCTTGGTTGCCATGAACGAAGTTACAAAGCAAATCATTAAGCAAAACTCTGATTTCTTTGCCATCAAGCCAATGGAATATAATCGGTTCCTGATAATTTCAATAGGCACTGGGACAGCAAAAAATGAGGAAAAATTCAATGCTCAAATTGCCAGCAAATGGGGGTTGTTGGATTGGCTAACCTACGACGGCAGCACTCCCTTAACTGACGTTTTCAGTCAGTCCAGTGCAGATATGGTTGACTTCCATTTATCTGCTGTCACTCAAGCACTTCAGTCACAGGATAATTACCTTCGAATTCAGGTAATATTTCTATGAGCATGCATAATATTTGGTCAAATACTATGATCATGTATACATAATTGGTCAACAACATTTGCAGGATGACACATTGACCGGAACAGATTCTTCAGTTGACATTTCTACAAAGGAGAATCTGGAGAAGCTTAGCGAAATCGGTGAAAATCTGTTGAAGAAACCAGTCTCTAGGGTGAACTTAGAGAATGGTCTCTTTGAGCCACTCAAAAACGGGGAAACTAATCAAGAAGCTCTTAAAAGGTTAGTTAAAAAAAAAACATCATTTTTCATCTGGTTCGGTTACTCGGTAGAATTATATATTATATCAGAATAATTAAGCATAGATATTTTAATGGTTTCAGGTTTGCAAAAATACTGTCGCAAGAGAGAAGGCTCCGTGAAATGAGATCACCACACACTAAGAAGCCCTTCTAGTTCTCTTTATCATTCTATACTCATCATGTTCTTTTCTCGTAACTTTTCTGTCTCGCATTTCTTAATAGAACGTTTTTTAACGTATGACTGCTTATTGAATAAAATGTAACCTCAGAACTGCTTTATTACACTTTTATTTTTTCTTGCCTTTTGTACAAATCAACTTCAATAATATAAGTTCCTATATATTCTTTATTTCATTCTTATATTCTTATTTCGGTTTACCCTAAAACTAAATAAAAAACAAAATTAAAACTAAAGTAAACCATGAATTATAGTAGTCATATAATATTTAGTAAAATACAAGTTGCTGTTTTGTTATTCTGATATTAAACTTATTATATATGCCATGTTTTAAATATAAAATTCGCTCGTGTACTTGAAGGGCAGATTAAAAAATAAGATTCTTTCGTGTACTTGAAGGTCAGTGTAACCTAAACATAATCAAAGCATAAACTTTCATTGATGACAAAAAAACCAAAGATAAATAACATAAGAGTTTTGTGTAACCCAAAATTAAATAAGTATTAAGTGTACATTCTTTAACATCAAATTAATTGAATAAAATACAAAGCGTTTACATCACATCATTGAAGCTTGCAAGAACACTCAATTATTTGGATTAATTACTCTGAACCCAATAACACCTATAAACCGTTGACCCTGGTTCAAGCGCCTAGGCTTAAGTCACATATGGCCTAACACAACACTTGTAATAAAAAAGATATGTAACACACTACAAATCATAATACCATACTCATCATACAACTATCTTTTGAGAATTTCCATTGTTTGCAGACATCTGAGATTTACGAAATTGCTTCTGTTTGGATAGTCGTATCGCAAACCTGTGGTCAAGCATGAGACTTAGCACAGACACATTCAGAAAATGATACTAAAATTAAATCCCTAGTTAACACCATGCCCATGATTTTGGATTTGAATAATAAGGGCTAAATTTTTTATACTATAAATATTACAAGTATATACTAATAATAATACCATCATGGTCAGTTATTAATTTCTTTTAATATATATTGGCTTTTGATTTTAAAATGTGTACCTCGTCAAGGCTTCTCTGTTTGTTTCAGAAGTTCCAGCAGATTCGTAAAGGCCAGTCCTTAAGTTAATCCTTGAAACTGGTTTATCTAACAATGATTCCCCAACTGAGACCAGTTCCTTCAAATTATCCTCCGTGGCCAAGTCCACAGAAGATGATTCCCCAGTTAATGTATCGTCCTAATTAAGAAAGTTGAAAATATGATGAGAAAAAGTAATTGTATATTTAGAGTGAAGTAAAGTTGATGAGAACCTGGATTCGGAGGTAGTTATGTTCAGAATTGAGTGCTCGAAAAACGGAAGAGATGTGAAAGTCAACCATGTCAGCACTTGCTTGAGTGAAGGCATCGATTAAAGGGGTGCTGCCATTGGTAGTGGAAACCCAGCTCAATACACCCCATTCAGCTGCTTCTTTAGCACTGTATTTCGGTTCCTGTTTCTGAGAACCCGTTCCCAATGATATCACCAAAAACCTATCGTATTGCATCGCTTCCACCTTCAAGCTATCACCTTGACCTTCATGGGAAATTTGGTTTGTCACTTCTGCCATGGCCACCAGTGTCTGCACCACCGAATTAACACCATATTACATTGTTTTCGTCATACTCATTCGTTTCGTATTTTACCTTTTTTTTTCCTTTGAAATATAAGTTTGTGCACGTACCGGGTTATTTGCTGCGACGCCACCGTCTATTAGGTCAAACTTTCCCATGACATGACCGTGTTGGGTTTTGGTTTCGAAGTAATGTGCAGGAAGATAGGTTGGAGCTGCTGAAGTTGCTATGCATATATCCGACAACAAGCCATTCAAATATGGCCTCTTCTTCAACTGTTGCATAAATTTTAATTGAAAATAATTTTTTAGAACTTTATATGAAAATATGTTCAAACAGGGTAAGCTTTTCTTCGGTTTGTTTTTAACATAAAATGGAGAAATTATATTAATGTTGATCTGAAAAAAATCACGTGGAGTCTTTTGTTTTTTTTTAATATAACATCATATTGTAAGTTAAAAATAAATAGAGAAAAATTTTAAATCATTGCTAGTAGATACTAAAAATGAGATTAAACTTTTTTATTTTCAAATTAAAGTCATTTTTTTCCACAATAAATGAGGAATATATTTGATATAATAAATAAATAGAGGAGGGATGAACCTGGAAGCTGGAAAAGATGGTTGGTTGAAGGCGTTTGATGTCAAATGTTGGGATGACAACATTGGTCAATGTCTGGTCCAATCTTGTTTCCTTTAGGTTGTCCCTAATAATCTTGTGTAAATCCTTGCCATCATACGATGGTCCACACAGACTAGTGATGAACTTCACGACAGAAGCGATTACACTACAGCACCTATATTAAACTGTAATTAGGACATGTTGATTTTTGCATGAAGATTATGTTAAAGTAAGGAATTTTTACTTATTCTGTGGGAAGATTTGTGGAGAATGATTAAGGTAGAAATCCTTAAGATGTTGGGCTGCATACAAGGGTCGATTATATTCGTTTGGAGCAGTAAGCATTGCAGTGACCAATCCCCCAGTGCTTGTTCCTGCAATCACATCAAAGTAGTCTGCTATTCTTACATTATCACCATCAAGCCTCTGCACACACCATAATCACACATTAATTAAATGTTAATTAAGCTATAGAAGAAATAGACTAAAGTTAATTTATACAGACTAGGTATATAAAATAAGTTGCACCTAACATAATACTAAATACATTTCCAGAATGTAACAATCAACCAAATTGTTTCTTTCATGATGTGATAATAATTAATT